CGTATTTTTCAGCCAATATGTCGCAGTTTTTTGCATAATTTGAATGCCCTGTGATTTATACACCGAAGCAATTTATTAACGGATTTTTTTCCCATATTTATAAAACAATTTTTGGCTGAGATATGACCGTTTTCATTCATTCTGACTGAAAATATTGAACACTACCATTTTTAACCGCTAGATGGCACTTGAGTGTATGGCATGCCGTTGTGTCATGTAATTGGTAAAAGTGGCTATTAATGACACAATTGGCTTGCCATAGTTGTCACCTTTGTCCACCTGGAGAAACCGTCAAATCAGCTTCATTTTGCTGTGCCACTCTGGCAAAATGAAGTTGATTTGACCATTGAAGTGCATTTATTAAGTAAAAGTTCAACTGAGACACGCCTTTTACTATAAAGTCGAGCTAGTCATCTTGTTAAATTTTGAAGAAATGCACAACGAGTTCTCTCGTGCACGCTCTTATTTCCACGTATCGGCTTTTGAAATGCAGCTGATTTGACCGTCAAAGTGCATTTATTAAGGAAAAGTTAGACTGAGACACACCTTTGCTTTAATTTCAAGCAAACAAATTGTTTGAAGCATTAATCTTGTTTATTGTTAAAGTCCTCCCGTGCATGCTCCTGCGGCCGCCATTTGGCTGCCTATCGATTTTTGTCACAACACCGGCCCACATTTCTGGGTTGTCAGCGATCACAGGTAACACAACGCATTAGCGGTGACTCATAATAGATGCAACCTACATGCAACTTATATGGTGAAGCGACGTATTCATGAATTTTTCCACTTTATTCTATATATTTGGACTGATGCAACCTATAGAGCAGTATGACATGTATGGCGGACAATACGGTAAATATTAGATCTTTTAGCGTACCGTTTGGCATTCGTTTAGCATATATCTTAGTGTATATCTTAGATCCTTGTATAGTGTTTCTTTTTATACTTTATATTTTTGCTATTTTTGGGTGTAACTGGGACCCTGAGTACACAATTTTGTTCCACCTCATGTACCGCATATGGTGAAATGACAATAAACTTGACTTGAACTTGAACTTAAAACTGACTAAATTGTAATCATTATTGCACTTGCAATGTTGGTTATGTCCCATCTTTCACAACAGTGGGAGATAATAAAAAGAAATCTGATAACTGCGAATGAATCAGCTTTAGTTAGTTTAAACTATGAACCCCTTTTATAAGTGTAGTCTCAAATCAAAACTGAAAGAATAAAAATTATTTGCATACAACTTGAGCACATTTTAGCAAATGACTAAAAACTTGCCAGTGTTTCGGGACCTGACTGTATATTTACTGCGTCTGCTTATGGTCAGCCTGACTGCCATGTCATCCTCAAGTCAGTTCTGTTTCCAAGGAAATGTGCAGCTGCCTAACTGCATTACTCTGTCACAACTATCTGTGCACTGAACAGGCCCAATGGGCCTGGGGTGATCATTGGTGTGTACATACATATGTGTGTGAGTGCACGCATGTGTAAGTGTGTGTAGGAAATCAGTGCAAACAGATTTGCCAATTGCCCTGGGTCAAACGTGCAGCAGCGGTTAAGTGGACATCAATGATGCAATAGCCTCACGCTCACACAAACACATGCACATAAAAACCTCTCGGTTTCATCTGCTGAGCCCCTGCGGTGAAACTAAGAGCTCCTGCATTATTGATGGCCCTGTTCTGTAAAACACTGAACCTGCTTGAGCTGCAGGTAAACCTTACGCCCAGCAGTCAGACAAAAACACTTTGTTAAACTAAGTGCTTTAATTTGAGACAAGCATGGATACTATCACTTGCTACCTGTGAAGTAAATTTGCAATTAAGTGTTTTAGTGCTTTAAGGAGCAAATCGTAACTGACAAACAAACACATGCTTCAAGATTACTAGTAAACAGCTGATTACAGTGCGGTAAACTAAACTAAAATGAAACCCTGCAGCTTTTCTGCAAGAAAGAATGTAGTTGTAGTTTTTGTTGGCCAATGAATACGAAGTTCACAGTGAAACTACCTGAAGCACATTTTGTTTCTTTTAATAGAGAAGTTATAAAATACAGACATGAGTCATAAAATGCACACAGTCAATATACCGTACTGCAGATCTAAGATATTTGCTGGCCAAGGGAGTTATTGCCTTCCTGGACTGCAAGCCCAGGAGGCACCAAGCCATGTAATTTGTGTGGTTGCCCCTGGCAACAGCAATGCAGCTGTAAGTGCACAGAGCAATGTATATGAGAAATAAGAAACATCAAATATTTTAGTAGTGGAGAAAAACGTAATAAATGTGATTTGTAGTAGTCATGAGAGAACACCGAGTCGTAAAGTGACAAACAGTTTCTGCAAGAACAAAATAGTCATTTAAATTCAAGTGCTTCACATGAGGCCTTCTTTTGTTGCTTAGACGCTTGTGTTTAGGTTCCCCTCAGGTATTCAGTATAATCATTTTGCTGTAAAGAAATAAAAACTTTAATATGTGGACACAACAGTAAGAACTAACAAAGGCAGATTTTTTTTATGAAGTCCACACACATAAGTAAAGAATAGGCTACAAAGATTATAAATTACATTTTTATTTATTCAAAACATAACATTACCAAATTCAAAAGCATTTCAAATTGATTTTTGTTACCAATAGTTTGCGATCATTAAATTTTAGAAACTTTTGAACTGGCTGCAGTAGATGAATGATAATAATTTTCTAAGATATAGTAGTCCTCTGGATTTCAAGGCTAAAAATATTTAGCAAAAGCTTTTTGCATATTTTATTAAGAACAAAAAAGGCAGATCTTTGAGGTACAGTAGTCCCTCGCTACTTCACGGTTCGTTTATCGTGCACTCGTTCTATCGCGGTTTTTCAAAATACGAGTGGACAAGACACACAATTGGCTGATTGATGGATGAGCAGCACAATCAGCATGAAATTTTTATTTAAAATAAATTATTTTAAATTATTTAGCACCTGCGGCATCTTTGTGCAGCCCACAGCTGCAGAAAAAGCATCCTCCTGCTTTTGTGCAGCCCTTATTGCACAATAAGCTTCCTGCTGCAGCTGATCAGCTGGTTCTCCATGTAGTGTGGCGAAATGGGCGTGGTCAAGACCGCTTGCAGGTAGCTGAGTGCAGCCATGGCTGAGAGGAGGTGGGGAGCTAAAATCATGACATTCTGTTCTCTTTTACAGCGTTTAGAGTTTAGAAACTTTGTTCATGCAAGAGCGTGGGAATGGTTTAAAATTCCATATATATATATATATATATATATATATATATATATATATATATATACACAGTGTATATATATATATAAACTACTTGTACTATCTCTACTTTGTGGTTTTTCACTTATCGCGTGCTTCAGGATACGGAGCCCCTGCAATAAACGAGGGACTACTGTATATGCTTTAGTTTTTATTTTATTTTTTTTAGATTTTTTAAAATAATGAATATGGAGTTTAAACCTATAGCAAAGGAATATATAAAATACTCATCGAGTTTGTTTCATAGTGGTAAAACTACATTTTATGCATACATGCTAAGTACATGCTCTATATTTTACTTTGTACATTACTTCTAATTTAAACATGTCATATTTGGAAACATGCAAACTCCACACAGAAAGACCTGCATTGCTGAGATTTGAACCAGAAACCTCCTACAATGAGGTTATAGAACTATCATTCTCTATTAATACTCCAATCAAATTCATATTTTTATCTTTTCATATTGCTGTTATGTATAATTTCATGAACATTCTTGAAATTATATGTCACACATTCAAATGCATGCACACACTTGTTTTACATGTATAAAAGAACAAAGTTAAGAATTCCTGCTCAGTTATAATCTGTAAAATAACAACAAGAATAAAGATAACTGGTCTTTGAACACAAAAACTGTCACAGATTATTGGAAACTCTCCTAACGATAAACTTGATGTTTCTTCATGACCCAAGAAGCCCCTTTCCCTGAGCATTTTATGCATCTACAGTGTGCTCTATTTAAAGAGTTGGGTTGATGATCTTGAATGACACTGAAATATCTCCAGTTTCAGAGGCCAGGCTGTACATCTCTGCACCAAGAGGCGATGCATGAGCAGCAGGCTAAAAGGAATGGAGTTTAACACTTTGCGGGAAAGCAAGCAAAGGCTGATGGTACATAGCTGCTACTGGGAGGAAACAAACAAAATCTGACATTTATGTTTTGAAATATTTTTAAGGTCCTATGAAAGATTGGAGTGTTAAAAATGTACTTAAGCTCATGTTATTACACATCAACTGGTGTCTGATCGATAACAGCATTATATGTAGGAGAGATGTATGTGCTTCCTTTACATACCCCTTCCCATTCAGCTCTGTGACTACCTTACAAAAGCATCAGCATCAGGTCGAGTTTGAACAACCGCCATTTATTTATGTCGGTGGGTAACAAATGTGGATCAGACCTGGCTTTAAAGTGTTGTATAAAAAGGGAAACTGAACGCAAGAAACATTATTGGAGTAAGATTTATGTTTAGTTTTTCCCCAGTGACCGGACTGGAACATAGTCAATGAATAAATCTAATTAGCCACTTGTCGCTCCTGTGATTACATCACAATTTTGCTTATTTTTACCCTTGATTTACCATATTTGGATAAATAACACAGGAAGCTACAGTGAACTCCTAATGTTAATGCAACTCATGCATGAAGTCTCATCCATTTCTAAATTTAATGTGATCTGATTTTGTATGCTACCAACCTTAATCTGAAAATGTGATTATTTTTTGTTCTTACACATTGTTTAAACTGACAATAAAGCAAAGAGAAATTAGAAGATGTAGATGTTTAGAAAGATGACACATGATGGAGACAAATGGTTCAGTTCAGCTGTCACAGAGTGGACATGTGGGTCTGATAAATAAGACTACACACTGATACCATATGTTAAAGTGTAATGACACGAAAGGTACGTCCTCAACAACAAACAAGCAAGACGGAATGGCTGCTATTTGATTACTTACATCGGTGTCAGGTCCCTTATCTGCCCCCGGGCAGGAGAATGTGACAAGTTCATGGCACCTCTTGTGAACCACAAAACAGCAAACTGCAGGGTAAGAAAAGAGGAAGAGAGACAAAGAGATGAGAAGGGTTCCAGAGAAAAAAAATAAATACATTGACAGATGGGAAAGACAGACAAAGAAAAAAAAAAGAAAGTGAGACATGGTTAAAATCCAGTGTTTTGTCACTGACCGATACGTATACTCATTCCAAAAGGAGATGCAGATTTGATAACACGATGAGCGACTGAAACAAATGACTAATGTCTGGGGTAGGTTCTGCCATGTTCCCAAATGGCCAGTTCTGCCTGCAAGCTGGTTGCTCTGATTGCTCAGCGGCACTTCTTTACTTACATGACAGGAGCTAACCTCAAGCGCACACAAGGATATTTAACGCAGACTCAGATGAAGGCAAACACATTCACAGAGTGACACTATAGCATGATATGCAAACACTGGGTCTTCACACTTGAATTCTTGCGCCCACACACTGTAGGAGCGTGCAGTCATTCTCTTTGACTAGCTGCCAGGTCACTGAGTGCACTGTAACATGTAGCCAGTGGAAGCAGCTGAGTCAATGGGGAGGATGGCACCTGTTACCAGCTCGCATCACTGGTGAAACAGAGATGAGCCAGGGTGAGAGAGGCTAACTGAGAGGCTAATGTAATTTAAAAATATATAATACTACAAAACTGTGTTAACCTGTCCATGTTAAGAACAAAAAATATTTCATTCAGTCTCCTTTCGAAACAACACCCGCATCCCTAACCACACCTAAGCCAGTCACGATAACAAGTTTTGCTGGGCGATTAATGGTCTCAGAAATTATTGCGATAAACGATAATATTGACTGAAATTTGACAATAATCAGTAATTACTGTCAAATTTTAGAAGAAATGTTTAATTTGTTTTGCATGTAGTACCTTTTTTCAACCACCGGATGGCAGTATAAGACTGTTCGAACCGAAGGAGTTCAACGAGTTCACAAGGGAGCAAGCAAAGTGTCTCTTAAAAAAAAATGAGAGTGAGGCCCCTTGACATGACATGGGCTAAATATGGCGGACAGTCGGTGTGGATTAAGCTTTTTAGCATAGCATTTTTCACACAAAGCTTTTCATAAAAAATTGTTAAACAAGTTCTCAGCGTCTTTTGCCAGAGAAAAACTTTTTACACAAAAGCACGGGTTTCACCCATGAATTTTGGAGCTTCGATAAGATGGAGGTTTTTTCCCTGAGGTCGGCCTGTTAGCTTAGCTCGTAGCTTAGCTTCTCAGTTTAGCTGCTTTTAATGATTCAAAAACGTGATTTTGGATGGTTAAATGGATTTTAAAGAGAAAAGAGAAAGGGAGGGGTCAGTGAAGAGCACCGGAGTTGAGTTTTTTGTCATCCAGTGTCTTCAGTAGAAAGAGAGACGAAGAAACGATAAAGCCGATAAATGAAAATGAGGTTGATAATTTTCATTTATCATGCGATTAATTGATTTATTGTTTATCGCAACAGGCCTAACCACACCCCCTCTACATCTTTGACAATGTAATGTTATCAAGGCCAGCAGTATTAGATAAAAGCAAATGAAATGGTGATTTTCACTAGTTTTTATTTCCATCATTATGTGATACATTTCAAAAGAATTTGCTTCTTTCTATTTTAACTTCCAGCTGATCTCGTCTCCCAGATAAAGTCACATTCCCAAACACAGAGAATTTATCAAGTGTAACAAAGAGCTTTTATAAATAAATAAATAATAAAGACAATTAAAACAAAACCACTGTTTATCACTTTAAAAAAGGGTTCTCAAACTTTTTGGGTTCAGGGACCCCCTCATAACTCTCATGTTTATTAAAAAATTTTCTTCAATTTGTCTCTTTAATGCAATGGAAATATTTGTGTAACATAAATACTTAAAACCTGTTCTTTAATGGTGTTTATACAATTTTTATACTTTTAAATGTGGTATTTTTCATTCAAGACACAATTAATTAACTTTTTTTTTTTTACTTTCAAATATTACAGTTTTGATAAAAATTCCAGTATCAAAAACCTGAAAACATTGTCAGGTCCTCTGAACGGTTTCAAAAAAACAACAACAAAGAAAAAGTAGAAATGTTTCGTCTTTCATCCGAAAGACTTCTTCAGTCTGAGGAGCTGTATTCAGCTCAGTCTTATAAATAGCGCCTTCTCATAGTGGATCAACCAGTTTGCTGCTAACAGCAGAATCAAAAACCACTTCAAAACTTTACCTATTCACATAATGAACATAATAAATGTATCGCCAATTGTTCAAATTATTACATAAAACTGAACAGAATCATAATGTCAGTAGTCATACCAAGTAACCAGTTTTAATTTGTAAACCTGATTTCCTGCATTTTGGTGTATTTTAACAGGTTGTTAAACATCTCTGTGCATGTATTTTTTTATTTTATTTTTTTTTTTGGGGGGGGGGGGTACCCCCAAGCATTGGCTGGACCCCTGGGGGTTCGGGTACCCCATTGAGAACCACTGCTTTAAAGGTTTAAATAGGAAAAACAAATCTTTTCTGATTTGTGGTGTAAAAGATTTGCGATATTTTTATTATACGTCTGTGTTATAAAATATTGAGATGTATAACTACAAAATCAATTTAAAGTAGTCCCTTGCTACTTCGCGGTTCGTTTATCGCGGGTTGGCTATATCGCGGATTTTCAAAGTAAGATTGGACATAACACAATTGGCTGATTGATGAATGAGCCATGGGTTGTTTGTTTAAAATACATTATTTTTAATGATTTTGCACCAGGCTGGACATGGGCACCAAAGACCCCCCGTGACCCAAAAATGAAGAAGCAGGTAAAAGATAATGGATGGATTTTACACATTGTGTGCAGCCCACAAGTGCAAGAGAAAGCTCCATCCTGCAGCTGATCAGCTGATTTCCTTCTCTGCTGCACACATTTCTCCTGCTGCAGCTTTGTGAAGGGTTAACCCTTTGCTGTCCAGATGCACCAATCAAATTATGTCTTTCAACTTAAAATTGAAAATCTGTCACATCATAAAAAATTTCATAATCAAAAACTATAAAAGTGTTACAAGTTATTTTTAATTAATTTAGAACTTTTATGTTCAGTTGCTGAAGTGTAACTGATGAAGAAGCACATTTCTGCTCCGTGCTGCAGAGCTGAAGTTGTGTTTGTCTGTGTCCTTTGATGTCCTGCTGCACTTCTCTTCTCTACAATTTAAATTTAAATACAATAACATTTTACATAAACAATCCATGCTGTATGGAATGTTTATTTAAATGTTACGGTATTTAAATTGTTTATTTAAGGAGGGAGTTTGGGAGTAACATGTGATGAGTGTGATTACAGCCTGGCACATGTCACGACAAAGTTTACTGAACTTGAACTTGGACTACTGTATCCCTACTTGGCGGTTTCACTTATCACGGATGGACCCAAACACCCGCGATGAACGAGGGACTAATGTAATGTTATAGTCATTACATAAGAATTGAGTTATAAAAACAGAAATGCAAAAAAAAATTCTGTTGGATAACACTGGAGAGTTTGTTTTCCTAAATGCTGAAAGTTGGCTGAAATTTGTTAAAGCTGAAAGTGAAAATTACAATTTGCTAATCTGTAGCTAAAATTAGCTAAACTATAATTAAAAGATGAAAATACATAAAAAACAGCTAAAAGCATAAATTAGCAAAACCTTTGTTACATTTTAAAATTAAAACTGTAGTTGAAATCTAAAATTAGAAAAGCTGTAATTAAAATTTTTAATTAGTTAAATTGTAAATAAAGCCAAAATCAGCAAAGTTGTAGCTAAAAGTAAAATTTAGCAAAGTAGAAAAAGCTAAAATTAGCAAAACCATAAATAAAAGAAGAAATATGAACTATTATCGTATGAATGCTGAATCAACATGCAAATTTAAGCTTGTTGCTACAGTTCAGCTAAAATAAACTTTTAGTTTAGTGTAAATGTTGAATCAGCATTCACACAATTATTTGTTTTTTCAAATGTATAATAGGTTTGTAGCACAACTTTTATTAAAGAAGGTAAAGTTTTTTTTTCATGAATATAATGTCTAAAAACAGTTTGATAAGTATAAGTAGTACTAGTAAGTGTATTACAAGTATAAGCACAAATCAAAACCTGTTATTTCCTAAAGTTGCAAGTATACAGAACTACTTCAATAAAGTCAGTCAATCAAGCATTTATAACATATCATTAAATATGAAAGCAAAATTTACAAAAATATTATTTTCAG